AGAGTGAGGTGCGCGAGAACGCTGGGACCCTTTTTCCACCTGGATCTCCGCTCTTTTTGGCCCTCATGTCCCTCCGTCGTCGGACTAAACTCACCCCCACTTCCTCGCCGCCTCAGCCGTTTCTAGATCCACAGCGTGTAGCACAGACCACGCTTAAATACTGAGCATAATTAAAAAATGTCTGTCAAGCTTACTGCGACACACTGCTGTAAGAGTATAACCAGGAAGCGAGGAAGGAGGGCAAAATAGGTTTAGCGCCACCGCAGCACGGGAGGTAGAATTACATCCAGGAGCAAATGGATAAAAATAGACCGGAGGAAAAAATGGAATCGATTCTCTTGCGGACGTGTCGATGCATCGGATCATTGGCTGTTGGATCGATGCATCGATACAAAACGATTAATATTTACACCCCTAGTTCTACTGGAAACTGCAAAACGCAAACTCTTCCATCATATTTCCATGCTCTCACTCCAGAAAACATATCTCCGCTTCATTGCTGTCATCCCCAAACATTTCCATTTTCTTCTGATACTGCTGACCACACAGGTGCATCTTATCTCACTTCAACGCTGGGATTCACTGAGCTCTTGAGAGCGACCCATTCTTTCACAAATGTTTGTAGAAACAGTCTGCATAACTCGGTGCTTGATTTTATACACTTGTGAAAGTGATTGGGACATCTGATTCCAATACTTTAGATGTTTGAGTAAATACTTTTGGTAATATAGTGTAAGTGGTTAAGCACAGATGGTGGAATTTGGAATCCAGCTTTATGGTCAGTAATCATTTTCTTCCACCCCATCATGAATCAAAAACACATGTATTCTTCATCTTGTGAATTAACATGCAAAAGTCTGCCAACTGGAAATTTCAAAAATCAAAATTAAAATTCTTGCAAGTAAAAGAAAATCTCCAAAATACAAATTTTATTGATTACAAGCACTATGAAGCTTTCTATAATCTAATTAGGTATAAAATTTTAAATCGAGAATTAAAATCTCATTAGATTAAAACAGTATTTTAGCTTTGAAGGTTACAGAACCATTTATAAACACAGGGGGAGCATTTGTGTACATTCACAGAACAAAAAACTCTTTTTTGTCCTACTAAAAGGGAAGGATTGCAGAAGCCATTGCTTTTGAACCAAAGGGAGTCCTTCAAGCTCTCCTTCTCTACACCCAGACTTTCATATTTCTTGTGATGCTCTTCAAGGCAACATTTTTATAAGTCCAAGGGCCAAAATGAAAAGCAGAAGAGCATGCTGAAAGGTATACATTTCAAAAACAACTAAATGCTTTAACAGAATGCTTCTGAAAACAAAATCCATCCCTTCTGTCACCTTTCATGCATCTTTTACAGTCGTTTCAGGTGCTGCCCAGAACCACTCAACAAACCTAACAAGGGTTCTCCAAGACGCACAGCAGGGGCTGAAGCCAAACCTAAACATCCACGGCCTCAAGACCAAATATCACACTGTGGCCCATTAGTATCCTGTGGAGTTGGGTCTGAGGGAGTGAGAGGCTGAGGCAATCATACTCTCCTGGGAGCCTCAGCAGGAGAGGGGGAGCAACAGCTACAGGTATACCAGCGTCTTTCAACAAACTCAGGTATTGATGTAGATTAGGGTGAAACTTCACTGGAAGCCACATCACAAAGCATGTCAGCTCTGCTACATACCATTAGTCAAAAAGCAACAAACAATTTTATTATTTTGAGCTAAAAAGTTTTCAGTCTGCAATTTATAACACTATGTGACCAAAGAATCACCATGAGGGCCATTGTCTCCAAATAAAGAATCCAAAGAATAGTGGAGAACCCTTAAGAAAAGGATTGGTGATCAAAATTACATCAGTGCATCAATGAAAAATCTGAGGTCACAAATGAGAAAACATAGAAAGTACTGCAGATCTCACATCAAGACTGTAAATTAAATAATTATGGACTTCTGAAACAAAAGTGAAGGTTCTTTGAAGGTGTGCGTCAAACTAAATCAGTGCAAAAAAAAAAGAAAGCCTACCAGCGTTTAAACACGGTGTTGTTAGCGCAGCTTTGCTGCTTTAGAAGCTGGATTGTTTGCCATCATAAATGGAGCCAAGTATTCTTAAAGGGGAACACCGTTTTTTTACATAGGGTCCTTGACTTTACGTTATTACATCATGTTCTACTCACCCATATTAGTTTTGTCGTCATAGGGAGCTGTTCTGAAGATATTCCGTTTTGTTATATCCAAGTAACGTCTTCCTATGGACAACGACTTGAAGGCACAAACTAAACTGTTCATAATTTATCATTTATGGTACGCCAGCATTCATAACATGTAGGTGAATCATTGTCCCCCAGACATCGGTGGTTATATTTTTAATATTTATATTTTTCTAAAACAAAGCAGAGTGTGTATGACACCATCCGTGCGCCTGACTGAAGTTGTGACAGGCAGCCAGGGGAACAGGCGGCTACGCTCTACCCCTTATATTCATTCGGCGAGCTAATCTGAATCGTTCAGTTCTATTTGGAGAGCGAGATCATCTGTGGTAGTAGCAATAGACATCTTCCAGGCATGTGAGTAAAACTAGCAGCAGTTCAGCAGACAGGATGAATGAATGGTAGCCGGCGCGCGGATGACATCATAGACACTCCGCTTTGTTTAAAAAAAATATATAAATATAAAAAATATAACCGCGGATGCCTGGGGGACAGTGATTCGCCTACATGTTATGAATGCTGGCGTACCATAAAGAATAAATTATGAACAGTTTAGTTTGTGTCTTTACCTCGTTGCCCATAGGAAGATGTTAATTGGATTACAAAACCGAATATCTTCAGAACAGCTCCAAATGACAGCACAAAACTCATATGGGTGAGTAGAACATAATGTAATAATGTAAAATAAAGGGGCCGATGGAAAAAAAAAACAGTGTTCCCCTTAAGATCCTAAAAGAGAATGTCTACAGTATGTCATGGGCTCACTTGCTCAAAGGTTATGCAGCAGAATACTTTTTTTTTTTTTTACAGTTTATCTTTGGACTTGATATTTAATTCTGCTGCCTGGAAATATCTAAATGTGATAAAAATCTGCACCAATAGGAGAAACAAAGTATGATTAAATATTGTTTCCTGTGCCTGTCTTCAAAT